CCACCTTTTGCACTGTGAAGTCCCTCCAGATCTGAAAGATTCATCAACTGAATCAGCATCCGGAGAAGAAGAAACGTTCCCAGACAAAAAGCAATCCTCCAACCTCTTGCGTTTGGGAGGAGGTAGAGCAACTTCATCTATATAAGTGCCAGAGACAGAACACTCTCTACCATGGACAGCCATCAATGGATCAGATCTTAAATCTCCCAACCCTGACTGAACTCTATCAGCAGAACACAACTCTCGGACAGGCTTGCAAATGCTACAAAAAAAGTAGCTACAGTTTTCATAATGGCAAATAAGTGCGCGGTCCCTGTCACACTTGCAGTCTTTGTCCTGGCATCGCATGTCATGCAATTTCTTCAAAAAGGTAGCTTGGTTCTTCCCTTTATTCTGAACATCATTACTGTGGTGAATATACTGAAGAAGAATATCCTGAATCGACAAATTGGTTGAATCTGCAATCTTTGATACTCCAATTTGTTGCAAAATAGATGGCTGTTGTTGCTGGCTATGACATTCTTGCTCGACAGAAAATTGGCTCAGCTTCAAGAACCTTTCGTTAGAGGTATAATTGTCACACTGGCTTTCTGAATCAACCTCCCTGATGAGGGCCTTAGACAGCTCATCAAACTGCAATTGTCCAGGCAATTGATTCAATTGTGGAAGTTGATCTTGCAACAAGTCTTCGTGAGTTGATATTGCATTACCAGCAATCTGACTGGAAAGAGAATTGGACCCCTGAGGAATCCTATCAAAAACCTGTTCCAAGATGCATGTGTTTGGATAAGGTATCTGCCCATGTTGAACAGATGGTATAGGAAGAACCTCATGATAAACATTCTGATTGGCCTCCATAAGTCTCTGATCTTCTAAGTCCAACTCCCCTACAAGAGAACAATTATCACAAGGCAACGTATAAGAAAACAATATGTACTAAGAAGCAATATAGAATGTAATAAACAATAAATGTTGGAGGTAAAGGCTGATAAAGAATTTCTGCAAAGTGATTGATCGCGCATATCAATTCAACAGAGGCATTAGGTCCTCCTATCTACTTCCTCGAAATGAATGGATCTTTTTAAACCTAGCTTTACTTAGAGTGACACATTTTTCAACTCTCAACTCTCAATTTTCTCACATGTGCATCTCTTGTTCCATTATATCTTCTAGTTAGTCAGTACAAGAATTTATTGAGCAGCAGTATCATCACATAATGACGTCTTTCATAACCATCTCTGTTCAGACAAATCAAAAGAAGACCAACCAAACCTGCACATGTGGCCATAGTTCATAGTTTAAATTTGGACAACCAAAACAATACCCTGATTACCTTGTTGCACCGGATTGCAACTTTGCGATGATGGCTTCGATAAGTAGTTTAATCTGATGCAAGGAAAAGTTGATCCTCCATCACAGTATTCACCATCAGAATGCAGGTCCACATCCGAGCATGCCGTGATTGAAGAGATCTGCTCTGGAGAAGTAATGATCTCAGGAGAAATTGACAGTTTTCCCAAAGGTGAAAACATGTTATCTCCATCAGGCGCGATAAATCTACAGGCAATATCCTGGTTGTTGAATCGATAACCTTCATTAATAAGAACTATATGCTCCGGAGAAGCAATGACCTCAGCAGAAATTGGGTTTTTTCCGAGAGAAGAAAACATGTTATTCCCGTCAGATGCAATAAATCTAGAGCTAGCACCCTGGTTACTGAAAGAAAAACCTGCATTTGCAATAATTGTCATGAGACAAAGTAGGGATGCACAAGCACACATATCCACTAAGTTCTACATCCATGCAGCTAAAAGAGTACCTTGAGGCAAATAGTCATGATATACATAGCCGGTACCGTTATGGTCGATACCCGTAGTCATCAAGTCGCCATACTGTGAACTTATACTGTGAAAATCAGGCATCCACCCAAGCCCAGGCGCAGCTATTTGTGAAGACTGATAAAAGCTAGAAGCTTTATTAAGTGGATGAGCATCAAACGCCGGATGGGGGACCAAATTCTGGAATTGGGTTGATAACATCTCCGGGTTCGAATGACACCCCTAAAAATCATTCAACATTGCACAGATTAACTTAAATATGCCAAATTAGTTCCACGCTGAAGCTGATTCAATGTAATTTCTTTCCCTTTTTTTCCCTAATTAATTACCTTCCTAATTCCCAACTGACCCGTAACCAAAAGTCTGACAATTTAAAAGTACCAAAAATTGATCAAGGAAATAAAATAGGGTTTACGGCAAGTTCATCTAATTCGAATTTAGAAACCCCAATTTCAAATTAATCAATATACGAAAAAATTCGATTGTCAAGAAACACAAGAAGTCTGACGGGATTCTTCTGGGAAAATTCATACCTTATAATTAAAGATAGTATCCACGAAATTTTGGCATCTCGTTCCCATCTCACATGGTTAAGGTTAACGTGGGTGTCTGGCTTTCCCTCGCAAAATATACTGTTCTTTTTCTTACGTAAGATTTTCCCGCAACTGAAGCGAAATTCAAACAGCCGCAGACAGAATAAAATACTACTCAGGTTTTGGAAAAGTGCGCCCTAGAAAAAGACAAGAAAGAGGAAGGGAGGATGTAAAAACCAGTGGAATTTTGGTTGAAAAGACATCAATGTTGGAGAATTTAAAGAAAGATGTGATACATAATAATCCTGTTTAACCTAATCCGTTTTACTTACCGATTAGGATAATCTCCAGACTGCAAGAATAAAACCCAAATTTCCATAAATTATTAATAGTATGTAATAATTCAGGTCGTCAACCACGCACTATTCATCTTAATTAAGACAATTTCAAAATTGCTTCGTCAATATTCCCTCTTAATACTCGAATCATTGTACTTAATTTTCACCGTACTCAATTCTAACACATAAAAATATGTGGGAATAGGAGGAGAACAAATACTCGCTAATTTAATTAACTTAAAATTCAACAATAACGAATATCAAGTCATTTCACTCACCACAAGGCTCACAAATCTCAATTGTGAGATTTTCTTTTAAAGCTATTCTCAAGACTCTAACTCTTCTTCGAGTAATAACCTAGCACCACTGTTGGTATATATAGAAAGGCTCGAGACCAAGCCTAAATCAACCAGTATTCTTCAGTGACTTGAACCGCTCGTAGTAGAAAGGAAAGTTGCAAAACCAAATACTAATAGGACAAGACAACCTACACTACAAGGAACCTGCACTTGCCAACCAAATCGGCTTCGGGTCGGGACTCTTGGACACCCGACAAAGAAATAAAGAAAGACTTACTTAGCATGAGCTATGATCCCCGTGCAACTTCCATAATTATATAATTGTTACAATCATCCAAACTAAGTAACTAAATGATGATTAAATTACTAAATTAGCTTGATTTAATTTCCGGCAGTAAAAGATCTTTGCCCCTCATTCTTCAAGAGAATCAAAAAGATCATTTTCAATTTATTCATTTGGAATCGAGGTTCTTCTACTTCATTTTTATTTAAATTTAATAAATCCTCTCTTTATATATATATATATCACTCCTTAAGCTTTATAAGCTTGATCTTGTATAATTTGACCCGTTTCTCATTGAACAATGAGCATGAAAACAGGTCAAATTGATTTTTGATCAGAAATATTATGTGAAATTTTCGACATTTCTTCTTTTTCTATCCCTATCCCATAGATATAGGTACATACAATGTTTGAGTGAATATATTTTTTTCCCCTTCTATATGAATCAATAGTATTCCATACTAATTGAATTAGGTCCCAAATTGATGGGTTAGTATTAATTTATTCATGTGGTTATGCACTAATAGGAGTTCATTTTCCAAACGATCATAGCTTTTTTGTAGTTTGGTAGATTTTCAAAATCTTTTTCGATGACCCATATTGTGTTGAAAGAATATCTATATAATTCGATGAACATCCATCTGTTCTGAAAATAGTAGACCCAAAGAATTTACAATTTGGTCACTGACTACTGTCCCTCTCATTTGAGTTGGAAACACGTCTAGTATGAACAAATTAAGTGAATATAGAGAAAAGCCCAAAAAAAAAAAATTTTCATTAGTGGTTAAGTGAATATATAGGAAATCCCCTTGTAGTTTCAAAATATACAATCTAACACTTCGTAATTTGAACTAAGCTGAAAAAGCAACGAAATTTATCAAAACTAATGTAGGTAAATGAATTGACAAAAATACCTTATTATATATAAGGGTAAAATGTAAAAAAAAAAAAAAAACTCCCAGTGATTTAATCAACTTATAGGAAAGTTTCTCTATGGTTTCAAAAACTATAATATTCATCAATTCCACAAATAAAAACAGTTGTTCTAATTGGTTAATATCTATATATGAGATAATATCATGATTACAAAATAACTCATAACTCATAAAAACAGTTGATAGTTTTTCGACTTCGACAATTTTACTTTCGTTTTTTGTGGACACTCATGAATTTTATACTGGTATCGTAGGATTTAATTTTGCTATCTACTCGAGAGATTAAAAAAGATATAAGCAACTATTTTGTAAAATTTTCCTTCACTTCACACAAAGAAAATATATTAAAATTCATACTTTAAATCTTTAAAAAGGTCCTATAAGATAATATAGCAAAAATCCAAATTTAGAACTTTTACCATATCCCAAAGTAGTGTGCGTAAGACCGGTGGTTGACTTCTTCTACGCAGCTTATATATTTTCCTGAAATTTTTGAATCAAATCTAGCTTGCACTTTTTTTGGTTGTGTGAGTCGAATATCTTTGTCCACGTCAGCAGCCAAGAGATAGTGGTGGGCTGACAAAATATCTGCACGAACCCAAGAAGCCCAGGGCAAAATGTAGCCTACAATGGAATATTGGATTGGACGCTTCTTTAAATTGGGCCCTGATGCAAGAAGTCAAGGGCTAAATGTATGTAGCCTCTCATGGAATTTATATTGGGCACTCCTTTTAGATGGGTTTTAACGAATTTAACTCAAGGTAGGCGTTGCAGTGCGTATGGTTAATTCCTTAACAGTAACATTCAAAGCTGTAACTAGATCAGATGGGTTTTGAGCTACCGTTCTTGTGGAACAAGAAATCCACCCACAAAAGCCAGGTCTTTTTCTGAGTTGTCTCGCTGAAACCCTGTTTCGTTCGTTGATCCCTCTCCTTTTCCTCAGGCATCACCAACGGACAGACATATCTTCGGAACTTGATTTCAATATCATCTTTTATCAGACGGTAACATCAAGACTGCATCGGGCGGGTGGTGCAGAAGCTTTTCAATTCAAACTATAGTTTGCTGGCGAGAAATTTTCACAACCTTGTAGCAGCTTAGAAATTGGTTAGAGGTAACAAGAAGAATTACAGCTTAGAAATTTTGTTGGTTAGAGGTAACCAGAAGAATTACAGGGAGGGCATATTAAATTTTTTACTTTTACCGCCTCGAGTCTGTGTCGCCCTCCAGTCTCCGTGTATCTCCACGGCCTTAGCTGCGACGGGCAGCATTTTGAGCTTCGAAGTGTTAGCAAACATTAGGGATAGCTGTGAATATACTTGGTGAAACGTGTCGATCATAGTTTGAGTATGAGCGGAGAAAACTTTCTTTTTCCCTGTATCTATCAATTTTCCTCCATCAGCCAAGTGAAGTGACGGATGAGAACAGTTCTAATGGTAACTAAGGCAAGATAGTACAAGAAAAGGGTACAAGAAAAGGGACGTTGATAGATTTGTAACGAGGATAAACTGGTTGGGGGAAATTAAAACTTTCTATTAAAATTTTGACATCTGTACTTTATTACTAGTTTGTAGATGAAGTCGATTAAGAAGTATGACCCTTTTTTTGGCATTTATTGGTCAATTTGCAGGATTTTACTGGAAAAATCCATTTAGATTCAAATGGGTGATAGTCAGTACTCCTTTTCTCTCACCACTTTCAGGTACGAACTTGCTTGCCCTTTTCTGGAAAAATTAACGTTCCTAACTAAGCTTATACTATTTGTTTATGCATGTTTGGTTTTTCCCTATGCAAGTTTCCTTACAGATATTTTAATTTTTAACAGCCCTTCTGGGAAGCTTGTTCAGATTGAACATGCCTTAACTGCAGTTGGGTCTGGTCAAACATCATTGGGGATTAAAGGTAATTCAGGACTTTTAATGTGCTTTTTAGTATTAGTCATCCGTGTGATACAGAGTTTTACAGATTACATGTATACTTGTTTCTCTTCATCATTTCTTAATATATAGTTAATCACTCCGCCATTTAGTGACCTAAGTTTCTGATACGGTTCTCAGTTCACAAGTATAATTACTCGCATAAGGAAAACTGTACATACAAGGCTTAGAGAGCACTGACCTTCATGAAATCAACTCATGTAGTTTTGGTCTAACAATTTTGTATAGAAATATCAGTAGCGTTCTTTTTTGTTTAGCGTTCTTGTGAATTATATTTGTATTGCAAACAATATCTCCATGATGGGTAGCTTGTATCTTCTGGTTGGCTTATAAAGAACAAGTATAGTTGCACCTATTTCCTGTATCCTCTCACACGTCTATACTGGTCATGGCAGCTGCTAATGGTGTTGTTATTGCAACTGAGAAAAAATTACCATCCATCCTGGTCGACGAGACATCTGTAAGTTTTAAGAGTATCTCTTAGGTTGTCCTGAATTTTACTTATGCTTTTTTCTCTTTATAATCCTTTTCGGAGGAAATCATGGAATGCGTGGACATAGCAACTATAACAATTAATCTTGATATGTTCAAATCATAAGTTTTTACCAGAAATAAAGTCCACTTTTGATGCTGTGCAATTCTGTGATTTATTTGTGAAATGGTTATTTACTTTAGCTCAAGCATGTGGCATTGCATTTGGATAGGCAACATGTTTTGCTGTCAGAGTTGGTTACATAAGGTACTGCTGGATTTTGTATTTTGTGGAGAAAGCTTTCTCTTGCTGTTTGCTTGTATGGTCATGTGTGGTTATTTGATTTTTGACACCACACATATTCATTCTGTAGGAACTATTGTACTTATACCACATGAACTTTTTTTAAAAAAAAATCGATGTCATATGCATGCATCTCATTTTCTCATATCAAAGCAATGTTTCCCCTTATCCCAAATGTATTTCACTGAACTATTTCTGTTATTGTCTAGAGCCTTTTCATTTTTATTTTTCAACTTTAATTGTGTTCTTTTCAAGTTGTATTTTGCTTCAGAGTTTCTACTTGATTTTTTTTTTTTAGGTTGGAATTTGAATTCTTTGTATTTTCTAAATTTCCAGATGCTTCTTCACTGAACAATGTCTGAACCCATTTTTGGATTTGGTTGCTTCAGGTACAAAAGATCCAGAATTTGACTCCAAATATTGGAGTTGTATACAGGTATATATTTTATTTATGCTGTGCAATGCAGCATTTCATTCTTTTGTGGTTACTCTATTATATTCGTCTGGTTGTATAGATCAGATCCATGTTCCTTTTGATTTGGTCAACATTTTTTTCCCCATACCACGTGTATATCTTGTGAGTAGCATTTAGCTAGACTGCTAGTTACTCTATTGCAAAAGCACAACAGTAGGGCGGCATACATGGAAATAGCTAAATACAGGGGATATAGGTGTTTCATATATGCCTTTTGGAGTGCTTTACTTTTACCATTACCAGTATTTAGCCCCTTTAACTTTGACCTCGTGTGATCTAAATCAAGCTGTATCTTGATTCCAGTTACGAGAGAAATGAATTTTGGTTGAGTTGGTTTTTGAGTTTTAGCTATGCTCTTATCCAAATGTAGACTGGCAATTGACTACTTGAAGAAACTGTATTGAGTAGGTAGTCTTGTCAGCTTGTCCTATATTCATCTCAAAAGTTGATGGGTTACTTACTTGAAGCATTACTTGTTTTGTGAGCTAGCTTCTCTCCCTCTTTTAGTTTTTGCACCTGCACTTCGACACATATTCTTGTCTCTTTAATGACATTTCACATTCTCTAATATCTGCAGTGGTATGGGCCCTGATTTCCGAGTTCTAGTTCGGAAAAGTAGGAAGCAAGCCGAGCAATATCATCGGCTGTATAAAGTAAGTGATGTCCCTTTGCAGCAATGTTCAAACTTTTCTCTATCTGTTTTCTGAAACTGTGACGTGTTATGATTTGGTGGAATGGTGTAATATTAATTTTAGAAGTTCAGGATTAAACCCTCGGTAAACGGAATTCTGAGCATGATTGAGTTGCTTTTTTCTTCTCTAGAGGGAGTGGTACCATTTTGAGTTCTATTCTGGGAACATGATGTTATACAGCTTTTCTTTTGAGATTGCATTTTTAGCTAAGGGAGGTAGATTATTGATTTTTTAATTTACACTGATTTAATTATAATATTATGTATAAGGCATATACTTGTTTCAAAAAAAAAAAAAACTGGGGATGGCTATTCCAGGTGAAGCCAAGATTAGATTTGATTAAGATGTATTATATATGTAAAATTGGTAACTCTACCTTGGAAGTAGGTTAGCATCTCTTTCGTTAGTGCCTTGGATGTTGCATTCTTGAGAGTCAGAAGAGCTCAGTAGTGCTGCATTCATCGTGGTTGGTTTGCAGTCCATCTGTAATCCTGTTTCAGGATGACTTAAATGATAGGCAGCTACTCATTACCAATTCAATTTGTTGTGTACATTTCTGAAGTTAGAATGATGAAAATGATTGGTCCTTATGCTCCAGTTGCAGCAATGCTGGTGAGATATCTTCATGCCTGAATGCAGCAAATTCACCTTCATTGCTTCTGGAATCTTGTGTTTCATTTAAGATAATGAAATGTTAGTGTTTGCTGCTTACCTTTTCTGCTTTTTGCTGTTGGTTGACAGGAACCAGTTCCAGTTACACAACTTGTCCGGGAAACTGCTACTGTCATGCAGGAATTTACTCAATCAGGGTAATGTGTTTATGCTGTTATCTAACTCAGTTTGTAATTGGTGGTTTCCAGCACTATTGTGTTGTTATTTCACAATAGTACTGCTGTTTCTTTTATAAGTCTAACACTTGAAGTCTAACTTTTTTTTTCGCAACTATATTTGCTTCACCTAGAAAAGGATTTGTATTGATTTCTGTATGTTGCAGAGTGGGCCAACTTATGGAGTGAGTACTCCTATATCACGGTTTCTAATGTTAAGACATGGCAACCTCCGTAGTGGTGGAGCTAGAATAGTTTATATGGTTAAAATCTTAGTCTGACTTTTATGAGGGCAACCAAAGTTTCTTAATTTTCCATGGGAAAATATAGTTTTGTTCTGCCATAAAGGTTGCTGATAATGTTTGAAAAGTGAATCTTTGTGGAGCATGCAAAACATTTATTAAGAAGGCTTCTTTTCCTGAAAGTTGGCTTCTGATTGCATACCACAGGATTTGTGGTGACAGTTAGAGTTGTTTTCATCTCTGAAAACATTTTGCTGAGTCCCGTCTACGGGTGCTTACTGTCATCTTCACAATTTAATCAACCATGGAAGTTAGTACATTGGATTACTAATGTAAAAACGAAAAAAGAAAAGATGGCCTACTTCATTTCTCTGGTAAATATAGATAATCTTACTTGGGTAGACGTTATTTGCAATATTAACATTTCTTTTTCCCAACTGTTGCTTGGTGGAAATATTTAGTAACATAATTTATGATAGAAGCATAAAGCTGAATTGCCAGCATGATTTTCCAGAGGTTCTTGGGAGCTGAATCTGTGGTTCTAATCTTTTCACTATACTTGCCTCATTTGGACCTTTGATATAGATTGTAAATGAGTACCATATTTTTTATCATTCTTATTTTCCCTACTTTTCTTGTAGTGGTGTAAGACCATTTGGTGTTTCACTCTTGGTTGCTGGATATGATGACAAGGGGCCACAACTTTATCAAGTATGTCATCAAATTTCTCCAGTTCTGGTGCTTAGATATTTTGTGGCTTGGCTTAGCTTAAATATGCTGTCACAAATTTTTTGTTTGCCTATCTAAGTGCCATGGGAGTTTTTGATTATTCTTGATATCTCTTTTGCTTTTTGCTTGTGTAGGTGGATCCATCAGGTTCGTACTTCTCATGGAAAGCTTCAGCTATGGGGAAGAATGTTTCTAATGCAAAAACGTTTCTCGAAAAGAGGTGGGTAGTTATCATTTCTGAATTCTAGAACTTCTATTTTATGGCTTATTTTATAGTGATAGTTCGGCACTTTCAACTTTCTGCTCATTTTAGTCTTTGTACTTTTGTAGATTTTATTGATGCATTATCTTTCTTATATCTACATTTTCTTTTCTGGTGAAGTGTGTTTCGAGTTGTAAAATTTCTTTCACATTCTAAAACTACTACCGTTCGAGATAACCTATTGAATGTTCTTGTAATCCTGATTAAGTGGGCTGTCTCTGGGAAATCCCATTTTGTTTGTGGAATTCAGTTACTTTTCAAATGTTATTATTTTCTTTCTTCTTTATCTTTCTGACAAATCTTTCACATGCAGTGGCAACTTTTGACTGCATTTTCTTTGAGAATGAGCTGTGCAGTTCTTCTAATGCAATATAGAAGTGAAATGATTGTAAATTTTGCTTGTTTCTGATGCAGTTTTGATTGCTCACCTTTTGCTAATTGCAACTGGCAAGATGCAATTCTAAGATAACTAAGAATGTGTTTACTTTTTTGGATTAAGTTCGCCACTTAGCTGACTTAAGCCTCTTAAAGATCATTGAGTAGCGTTGATTGTTGAGGTGCTTTTATACAGTTTATTGCACCAATACTGCCGAAAGAACCAATATGACTATTTCATGCAGGTACACGGAGGATATGGAACTTGATGATGCTGTTCACACTGCCATTTTGACCCTCAAAGAGGGGTAAGTATCCACACTTGACCTCAAATCGTTTGTAATAGTTATTTGTTGATTTGAGAAGAGTTGATAACCTCAAATAATTTGTTGAAAGTCTTGAAAGCTTGAGCGAGCATTTTTCAGGTTTTGACCTCCTATTGGCTTTGTGGGTGAAATTACTGATTCGCGTGTCTGCTCATGTTTGAGCTTATATTCAGTATCTTTTTTCCCTTGGTTAAACACTTAGGTTTGTTGGTTGTCCTAAATAAACCTACTTTGCATGTACTTCTCAGGTTTGAAGGACAAATTTCTGGCAAAAACATTGAGATTGGCATTATTGGCAATGACAGAAAATTTAGGCAAGTAACTGATGTTCTCTTTAACAAGCATGCGCATAATTAGGTGGATGATATTTGTTAGTTGATGACTTTTTCATTGAAAGTATCAATCTGCTTGTATGCTTGCAGGGTGCTTTCACCAGCTGAAGTTGATGATTACCTGCAGGAAGTAGAGTAGAGTTTCTTCTGGTGAGGAGATTGGAGATTTTTACATTTGTATCAGAAATAAAGCGTATTCAGTGCTAGAAATTCTGGTGTTTTAACTATTTGGGCTATGACCGTTCTTCCCGGTGGTTCTATTCTAAACCTACCATCTTAAAACGTTGGAAGTGTTAATAACGTCTGCATCATTCACCCTGTGCAAACTTGCAGTATCCTTGGACCATCTGTATCTCATAGTGCATTGGTTATTTGGTCTTAAAATTATTCCGTTGGAGATGTTGAACTTTATGTTCCAGTCTTCTGCATGGGTTCTTGTCATTGGACGCGTCCAGGCTGTTTTAAGGTAGTCTTGCCCATGTGCGATTGGGATTGGTAGCGGGGTGGTTCGAACATGTGGCTTCCATTGTGATTGTGAGGGGATAGGCTGGCGGGCAGACGTAAAGGGGTCAAAATTTTCAAATGATCAGCTGCCTTGTGCGATAGATGCCGCTTGATAACTGCGTGATTTAGGTTGGGAACAATCACCAACGCTTGCGCTATACCATACGGGACCTGTTGGTCAAACAAAGGAAAGGGAAGGTTCTTAATGCAATTGTGACAATGCAGATTTTTAAGCTGCATAATAATGCAAACCATCCCTTTGCCATGCTCTCGTAGTTCGGTTATAACACCGGTTTAATAAGCAAGCGGAAGATCTCGAGTTCAACAATTTTCAACATATTTGTTTTCCTTTTTCTTCACCCAAAATCTATTTGTTAACGTCATGCCATTAAACTCATGCGTAGCTCCGTACAGATACCTGAAGATAGCATCACAAGCAAAGACCACAGAGTATCCTCTTTGGTTGTGTGCTCCTACTAGAAAATCACGTTCGATACAATATTAAACTAACAATTACTGTTGACAATTTGGAATTCATAAACCAAAGGATACACAATAAATGACAAGACTAGTATCCGCAGATCTGCCGAGTCTCGTCATTAGTCATCTAGTCACTGTACAGCAAGAAATTATTTGAACAGAATTTTCACACCAAAATTTAGCATGCCATACATCCATTGATGGACAGCATGCATGCCGTTGCAACTACACATTAAATCACAAGAAGAATCATGCTTATGTTACATGGGAATCTAATTCTACAGCCCGAATATTGTAATTCGCCAGTCTATCTGGGAGATGAGTAAGGTAAGTTACCGTATGGAAAATGCTTTAAAGAATCGTTATGGACAACGGGGCTTCTTCTAGCTCTGGCTGACAAGGATCTCTCAAAACTAGAGCTTCTTGGCACTCGACTCTCTCCTGGACTCCGGGGTGAATAACCAGGTTCAAAGCCACCATATCTGTGAGAATAACTTGACCACGAGGGGCTACCAACCTCACAGCCAGGGGGAGGAGGCTCGTCATCTTCAAAGCTCCTTGACAACCTCTGCTCATGATAATGACCTCTGCTTCCAGAATCTGATGTCCGATTGGATCTGCTGTATGAACGATTTCTAGACATATTTAGATCTGAGGGCCCAGCTGCCCAGCGCATTGCATCTGCATTTTGTGGGATTGGCGCATTTACCCCTGGAAATTCAATGCTCATTTTTCTAGCTGGCTCAGGATGGCTTGAATCAAGAATCTCACCTTCCTCTGTATCTTCCCCATTTTCCTCATCACCAAAGATTGTGATACCCGATGGCTGGTCTTCATTGTCTGGATCTGAAAAACAATGTCAAGATGTCATCATACTGCTTAAGGCTATTCAAAGTTCAATTACTGACCAATAAAACCAACAAATGAAATGCAAAGCCCTTTTTTTTTCACTTCTATAGGCCACAGGATAAAGGCAACTAGGTTCAGAATATGGAGGAGAGATAAGAAAATCGTGTCAATAGGTATCAAAGATGGCATGTCATCTATATAAATAATGAGATTCAGACCATCAAAAGCCGGGTTATCTTCCAACCAATCAAGAAATTGATTTTAAAAAAACTACTAAATAGGAGGACAAAACAGGGCGGAAAAATTGCATTGCTGTTTCTCAATTATAAACTTGAAAAGCACGCAGTTTTATTGGAAGGAAAAAGTCTAATGAGAAATACAGAACACATTCTGAGTGCAACTTCAAAATGTGGAAGATAAACACATGGCTACAAGTTAAAACTAAACAAAACAATTTTTCTTTCATTAAAGACCTCTATATAATAATGACAAGAAAATTTAAAAAATCAAAGACCTTGGAAATGCCTGATTACCTAGATAGCCAGGTGGGTATCCTATTTCTCGCATTCTGTTAAGCCACGGAGGTGGATCAAACTCCTACAGAAATTAGTCACAAAACACTTGATAAGCAATTTTAAACTTGCATGAAACCTAACACTGCAACTTAAAAGGCATCCCCCTAAAAAAAATAATAATAATAATTGCAGTTCGAGATCCGCAAAAAGGAATCCAATTCACCACAATTTAGTTCACATGAAGCATTCTTAAAAGCAGATGGGAAAATCCCAGAAGCTACCATACCCCAAGTCCTAAAAGCTGGCGTGTTTCAGAATCAAGAGTGCCTGGTTTTAGTCCGTCATACTTGCCACCAGGAGAATTCTGATAATATCTAGTTGGGTTACGCGAGCTGGGGTTTTGGTTACGCCTAGATTTATGTTGCTTTCGAGCATTGTTAACAGCAATATTATCACGAGGCTTGGGGCAGTCCTTCAGTGCATGGTTGTATGAACCACAATTGAAACAACGGGAACCTTCCACTACTTCCAATACTCTGCCATGCAAAGGAGAACATTAGATTTTAAAAGGGAAATGGAAAGGGAAAAAGAAAAGCATGAGTGTATGGTTGAACAACATAATATCCATATGTGGGTAATCTGATGGTCACTGAAATGGAGACAACACATGGGACTAAATCATACATATTCAATTTCGAATGAAAAATCCTTTACCCCAAGTTACTTGAACCATCCATTGCAGTTAAAGCTAATGAATATCCACGATCATAAACAGGAACTGAGTTTCCATCAAATGGAATGACTTCCTTGTTCTGCCTGCACCTAGTTTCATTCTCCATCCAAAAAGACTACATTGAAAACAGAATTTCTAAAATAAGTTGACAGAACATGGTATTAAAGAAATTTGCCAAAGTGCATTTAACTCATCTAGACAATGGAAAATCCAAATCCAGATCACATTCTGCATTTATTCAGAGGAACATAATAAGAAGCTAAATTATTAATCCAGAAATAGCCTTATATCGTATTAGATTATCAAGACATGCAAGCGATCGCAATTTCTCAACACAAATCTGAAGATATGAATACACAGGAGCCAACATTAAGTACAGTCCTATACTCCAACTCTGTGGATTTTTTTCCCTTCTTTTTGGTTTGAGAAACTAGATAGAAAATTGCATAAGACTAGCATTTTAAACTGCACCAAGAACAGGAAACAGTGGAGAGTCCTAAACTAACTCTAATTAAACAAAGAGCAGTTGATTTCTATCTTTCACTAGCTAACATTCTGTAGATATTTTACTGAAAGTTAAAAAAACCAGCAAGCATTGTGATAAAATATGGCTTATAATTTAGCAATCCCTCGACTAATGAGCTGATTCACCCATCCAGCCCTTCTTTTGACCTGAGAACTATTATCAACTTTGACATTTATTAGATCATTGGTGTGCTAACAAGGTTCTTTTTAAGCTTGTTCAAAGATGTTGAGATACATAATTTCTGTTGCTTGCGCCCCCCCCCCCCTCTGTTTATCAGCTCCCACAATGAGGCAGGCAGACATTTATAACTTTTGGAATGCACAAGCTGAATGGCACAGGTAACTCATTTTGCATTAAGTAAAATAGATGAAGATCTTTAATTTAGTATCAACTGAAAACCAACAAAGGAACATGTCTAAAGGGAAAGCAAATATACCACTGCAGAATGCTTATCTACACCAACTTGAAGAGCCGGGAAATATGTATCTTCACCAGATTCTAGAACTTGGCTTGATTCCTGAGTTGATAGAGTAGCACTTTAGCACTTGGGATAGTATGTGCAAAAAGGCAAACATATCTGTTATAGAAAAGAAAATTTGGTTCCAATACCAATCAAGTAGAGTCAAGAATTGGACCCTAAGAGCAATGATCTAACAAACATTCTTATTAAGACAATCTTGAATAATTGTTCCTTTTCCTTGTCGGAATGCAAATTATGTTAAAACAGTTAGCAGCCCCAGCACTTCTTATTACATTACTTAGAGCTCACTATGTTCTGGCTATCAACATCAACCAAAATTTGTTTTATAGGCTCTACTAACTTTACTAGGGATAAAAGCATCTTGCCAATGGTAAAAAGCATTTCTTCTTGTTAAGGCAGGACATAACACTAAAGTAAGAACAATACATAATACTAAGCTAATCACAAAAAGAAAGACACAAGAACCATTAAGCAAACAGGAGGCTTAAAAATGAGCACACAAGCAAATAGCAACTAATATAATCTATTCAAGATGAATGAAAGTTACTTTTGATGAAGAGCAATGCTGAGCGTGCCACTGTGACCACTGCTGTAATAGCTCCTCAAGCTTTCTTTTACTATCTCTGGATAAATTAAGCGAGATCAGCAATCAAGCAATGGAAGAATTGTTTTAGAAATAGTCAACCATATAGAATTTGAATAACAAGGTTCCATACCTTGTCAAGGACTTATAGGTGACCTGTACTGAAGGTTGCTGCTCGTCAACAGTAGCTCGGGATCTCTTAGCACCAGATAACACTGGAAGGAAAAATTAAGGGAAACAAAGCATTAGGAACCTATAGAATAAACTCATTGAAAGCTGGAAACTCAAGAGCTTATCAATACTAGAGGCAAAGTAGCATTGTCTTTTGGATCCAGAATTTCAAGTCTTTTGCAGGTTAGATTCATTGTTTGAGTTGAAAAGGAAAAATGATGACATGGGATAGAATCGCACCAATCTCATGACTACTAACAGCAAAACCATCTTTGTTGTGATTGTTGAGAAAGCTTTCATCTTTCAGAGCAAGACTACCATTACCAGCATGCCTTACAGGACTTAAGCAGGTGGCTGCTACAGTTTCAGTCAGTTCAAAACTAACTTCCAAGCTGGATGGGTTATCATGCATTGTTTTATCATTTTCAGTAGCCAGCAGAAGTTGATCATCTCCATCAGCGGTGTCACCTGAGTGCCCAAGGATCTCTCCAATTTCCTTGACTTCTTCAACCTCAAGCTTTCCAGATTGACAATCCACTTTACCAGGCTCACATCTGTAATCATTATCTTCACTTCCATCTCCAGGGCTATTAGCAGGAAGGCTGATAATATCCTCAGTCTCCATTATTAGAAACCGTTTTCTTGGGAATTCAAGTTAAAGAAGCAATTATGCTGCATCATTATACTCAACCAATTAGTTCACAACATCTTTGTGAAACATTTCAAGAAAATCTTGAATTAGAACCTCAAAATTAATTTTGAGAAAGACATAATCCAAGTATGCAGAAGTACATGCATATCAAAAATGATACTCAGCAAACGGACAGCCCAGGCCAAAGTAGAATCAGAAACCTAGATATAGTGGACTCATCAGAAAAGATTGTTTGAGTTACCAACTACACTAGCAAGAAGCTAGCAACAAAAAATTTGCAAGTTCTTCACACCAATTACACGTTGAGTTACCAAGGTTGACTACATTGACTAGCTCAAACATAGCTACTTTATCATCCTTTCTTGCTTAAGACAAAGAAAAACAAAGGTTGACGATATTGCAAAAAGAGTTTGACTTTGTGAATGCTTTGGTGTTTTAGATCAGATTTTGCAGGTCAGATAATAATGCGCCTCCTAGCTGAAGTCCCCTTTCCATGTGCCCGTCGATAAGCACATGGAACAGTAATGTTGGGGAAAAGGTTGTGGTACACATGTTTCACTCATCTTCTACAAAAATCAGCAACAAGCATCCATAAATTCCCAGTTTTAACAATACTAATATGCTCATCAACAGACCAATAGATACAAAATAAGAGATAAAATCCTTTAGTGAGTAAGACATTAACAAACAAATCACCAACGGAAAACCCTAAAAACACAAATTAACAAATCAATGATCAGAAATCAGATGCCAAACACTGACAGCCGTAGTCCAGCAGCAAAAATTTACATAAATTCTTTATTAACACTAACAGATGGATTAGGGTTTCGTAATTGCATCATTACTTTCGTAATTGGCTTCGAAATGTAGATCTAATGATTAAAAAAAAGAAGAAAAAGGGGAGCTGCAATTGGGTTTTTTACTTACCCGGGATAATGATGCAAAATTGGAGGTCTTCAAAAGTCCAAAATCGGTGAATTTTTTCCCTCCTAATAAATTGAGTTGGAAGAATTAAAGAATATAATCGAAAGAGAGAGACATTAATCGGTCTTCCTCCAGTCCAAGATTGAAGAGACTTGAAGGAGAGATCATTTTAGATTCCAAAAAACCAAAGCCTTTTAGATTTTTTTTTTTTAAATTTAATTTTGGGGTACGAACGCGTTTTGGAATCTCAAATCTGTATTCGAGTACTGGGCTGGGCTTCTGTTGGACGCAGCCCGTTCATCTTAGGAAAATCATGGTCGCAGACCCGTAGCTAAAAGCCGTACCTTTGCTTTTTCAGATTCTTAAGCATTAAATACAAGGAAAATATTATACGGTGGGGACTTGCAAATTCTGATTTATAATATAAAACTATCCAATTTCACCTTCCTTTTTTGTGTGTTTACCAAAACATAGCACTTGGCTGTGAAGTTTTTGTTGTGGATATTTATACAGGGGAAAATTTAGTCACGAGTGACTAGATTATAAGTGGACGAAGAACTAGTATAAATCCTATTTTGATAATTCAGTTCAGCACTTAAATTTAATGGATTCAGATCTTAATATATTCGAATTGTTTAATAACAAAAAATTGATCATTTTAATTAATTAAGTGATACTGAATTTCTTAAGTAAAATTTATTTTTAAAATTAAGTGATATGCTATTCATTTATTATTAAAGGTGATATGTACTCAAATATAATACTTAACAATTCAACAATTTAATGGATTTAGACTTCAGATTTCAGACTTTAATTTCATCAAATACACCCTAAGTCACTCTTTTTTTTTTTTTTTTTTTTTAAATTTGGCTTTCATAACCTATTACTTCATTTCAAAGCCTATAGTTTCATTCATACAGTCTTTTTTTTGGAACATACTGGTAAATACAGGATTTTAAGTAGGACAAACTGTTGAATATAATAACCACTTCAGTAAAATTATAGTATCTCTAACAAATTAACAATCACGGTAAGCTGCATCTACTCTACGGTAAGTTGCACGGAAGAAGAGCTTTTAAATCTCTCCTAATCCATCACATCTAACTACTCTAGTAATGGTTGGTTCTCCTTGTGTTTAATCTAGTCAATTAGATATATGAGCTGCCTTTTATTTTTTTTCCCCTTTCTTTCTGGATAACAAATTACTAGCATATTTCAAGAAATTCATTCTGGGTGGCAAAACCAGCCTTCTTGACCGAGTTGTCCTCTGTTGATCATAATTGGAGTTTACGGTCTCTATGATGAATATCTGATGGAAAATCGGCAACAAACACTGAGAATGATCGTCTTGAGAACGTTAGTCTGACTACATTGGAGGTATCTTTGGTTCTAAGCACAAAAAGCTCCAGCTTCTAATCTAGTGAAGGCAGGGCCCTCCTCCTTATGCTCATGCCACCAATCTGTGCAGTTTTGTTCTGTCCCTCGTCAGTTTTTCCATCTTCTTCTATTTCATTGAATGAATGTTCACTAAACACACGATCAGGAAATCCGCTTGAGCTTGAAGCTAAGATTGATGGACTTATCCGGTGATCCTCTTCATAAATCTCATTATCACTTGAACTCTGTACTTCAACAGGTGCTTTTCCCTTACCCTTGACTGTTGAATCTTTTTCTTCAGGCAAATCCTCGTCAGCCCCAAATTCCGTGCTGCCACCTGACGAGGTATCAGTATCACTGAATGTGTGAAAGATGGTCACACTTGCTTCTTTCGTTGCACCCTGGAAAGAATAGCTCCTTGCTTTCCCATTAGACAAAGGGAGGACAGGTTTTGGTTGCAAACCAGCTCCATCCCTTCCCAAACTATATGTTGTTGAGAGCTTCCTTTGGATGCCTTCCCTTTCTTTTACCAAAACGCTCAGTTGTTCCAGCACTTCATTGGGTACAGCTTCCTCTGCAGCTTTCTGCTCAAGTTCTGTAATGCTCCTATCAAATGCTTTCTTCTGGAGCCTAAGAGAATGCTGGATTGAAAAGGCACAAATATGTTACCGCAAAAAGCGAAAGTAGTGAAGGTGCAAGATGTGGAGGCCAATTGTGTATTTGTCCGCCTCAGCAACGGGTGCTTGGAGGGGGGCCTCCCCAGGATTCGAACTCCGGTCCTTTTGGGGTAAGGGTCTTGGGGTTGAAACCCTGATACCACTTGAGCTAGTAGGGGGGCCTCCCCAGGAGTCGAACTCCGGTCCTTTTGGGGTAAGGGTCTTGGGGTCGAAGTCTTGGTACCACTTGAGCTAGTAGGGGGGCCTCCCCAGGATTCGAACCCTGGTCCTTTTGGGGTAAGGGTCTTGGGGTCGAAGTCTTGGTACCACTTGAGCTAGGGAGGCCCCCCTCCAAGCACCCGTTGCTGAGGCGGACAAATACACAATTGACCTCCACACAAGATATTTCTAAGTTTTTAATTTTGTGCCAATGACAATAATTTTTCTAAAGGACAGCTGTGCTTTAGGCTGGATATTTCCCAACAAAAGTTGGGGAGTCTTTTTTGGTTAATATCTCTCATAATATGGACTAAAGAAAGAGAGTAGCGACTTTAACCACTACTGCTACTGTAATCTTGCCTTGCGAGCAAAAAGTTTTCCCCTGCGAAGAAAGGAATTCACTTACTCTCTTCTCCAGGAATTTTCCAAGACCTTGACTTTGAAGCTTCCTTTTCTTCCAAAATACGCAGCAATATCGTACCAGTGCTGCTAGTGTAAGCATTATTGTAGTTTCAAGCAACAAAAGTAACATAATCGTCTTCTCATTGCCTGAGAAAAGGAAAACGCAGGCAGTTTAAGCTATTTGAATTGTCGATATCGCTAAAATATTCGGAAATCACCTGCATAGATGCTGATGTTCTTGGCACTAGCTTGTGAGCAGCTGGAGGCGAACTTCTGACCTGGAAAGGTAAAAGTGAATTTCTAACCGTGACCAAGAACATCATTGAATGCAACAACTATCATCACATATTCGATATTTCCTCCAAGTTGTGAGAATAACAATTAATTGGTGCAGTGAGAGATCATTACGTGTGGTGCGACAGGGCAATGAGTTTCCAATACCTGCATCAAAACCAAAAAATAGATGTTCACATTTCAAATTGAGCTAGGTTATATGAGAACAAATGGTTACAAGCAAGAATTCCATAAAAAATTAGGGAACCAGTGCTCGACTTCCAACTTCAAACTTGAGGGTAGAGGGATAAACCTGACAATCTACTGATCTAAGGGAAAAATTAGTGATAATTGGAAAATGGAGTGATTCTTTTTAAGATATCTTGAACTGATGTAACCTCTACGGTCTTAATTCAAAAGAAATAGTATATTCTTTTCACCGAGGAAATCTGTTGTTGCCATAATAGAGACTCAGGTGTTTGGGAACCATGATTCCAAGGCTCAAAAGGGCTTCATTCAACTTGTCTACTCTATTAATAACTGGTTAGTTCCAAAAAGATCATCTCTCCCCACTCAATGCGGGTGCCTTCAAAGTGCGGGTGTTTGAAGGAACCCAACTGAAAATATAATTCTGCAGTTTCAACTTTCAACCACCACATTTATAGACTGTGTCCCTAAAACTAATCAAAAAGAAAATCAATGATCTAAAGCTCACTTGAAGCTGCAAAGAAATAGAGAATGATACTCTCATCCAGCTTGAATTGCTGCAAATCACTCTGAGAGAGCTTGTGTGAAAATTGACCTGTGACAGCAATCAACAACAGATATAGCAATTAACATTAGAAGCTCAGCAAGTCAGAAAAAGAATCCCATCTCAAATTGAAAGGTGAATAACTGCAAAGAGAATGTATCCTGTTTACTAGGCCTAGATTCCAATGTTTAGGACCTGTTAGAAACAATTAACTTGAAATTAACCAACAAGTGTTAGGGTGAGAACTCCCGTGCACAAACAAAAAGATTACCTGGAGGGTAGCTCTCGAACCAGTCAACGGCACCGGTAGCTGGAACAATTCTTGTAAACAGAACACTTTTTGGTTTTGAGGCTGAGATGAAATTATAATCTCCAATCGTGTGGCCAACTTTTCCCTCCATCTCTGTCTGAGACACATAAACTCCATACCGGATGATATTTATATACATTAATATTATACATAATATTATGTATAATATACAATATTATGATAGGACTAACTTGGATGATGAAACTTGGATTTGCCACTTCAGGAAATTTCTTAAGTGAGCCTGTTGGTGAAAATGAGTACAAGAATCCATCCAGTGAGCCGATGGATATCCAGCCTGTGAATTGTTGAAGTAACAATAAGTAATTTTATCGGCATAGTGCTAAAAGTACTGCTAGCTGGTTCATATCTGCATCTTTAACACAGCAGAATACACAATGATGATATCACATCAGCATCTTCTAAGCGGTGATGAAGCAATCAATAGCAGTAACTTCAGATTTACTCCCTAACATGTGAACACCAACTGCATACTTCAAAAATAGCCTTCGAAAGCACTAGTTCCACCAGTATATCTTCAAACTTCTTGTTAATTGTTAAGTTCTCAAAATATAATTGAAATTCTTCTCACAAACTGTTTCAGAATGTGCTGTCAGTGCTTTTGAGAGGAAAACTGGAATCTATAGTACAATTTTTAGAGCCTGAATTGTAGTCTTTTAGCATTTAATTGCTACTAAGTTATATGCATGAAATTTACATTACCATTGGAATCAACAGCCGGTGCATAATCTTCTGAGCTTAGAGGCCCAGTGCTTCCCTGCCACAGAATACTTCCCGTGTAAACATCTAGTGCCAGCAGTAGAGCTCGATCAGGGAGAGTAACATACAAGAGGCCATTGTTTGCAGGGGTGACTGTAAATCTCGTGTCAAATGAACTAAGATCCTGGATCCATTTGAAATGAGGACTGCGTACTGATAATGCATACAGCTCTCCTTCAGTATTTGAGATCTGCAAGGTAACAACAGATTGGAGTAAAAATCTTGCGTACATTAAGCATCCACAATCCTTTGTCTTGTCCGAAAATCTAGTCAAATTTAATGTCATAAATTGAACAAAGGAAGAGGTTCAGTCAATATCTACTGAATGTAGTTATATTCAACCAATAACTAAAATAATTTGGAAGAGACATTTCCAGAGGAATTGTTTCCCTGGTCAGTGAAAACAGCAAGACATGTAAAACTATTCAGCCAAAGAATTAAAATCAGAGTCATGAGAGCACGATTACTTGGTTCTTCACGAGTAAAATTTGCCTTTTTACAGAGGTTTTGGACAAAAGCAAGCCTATCTTAAGTAATATAGCCGATGGATGATTAAGAAAGCTCATAAGGATCCCTGAATCTTACATATATATTAGCTTCACAATGATCAATCACGGGGTTAGATGAAAAGTAACAGTCTGAAATGTTTTTCCTACAACCTTGACGATATCCGTGTTGATAAAGTACAGGGCCAGCAGTCCAGAGCAGTTGTCCCTGCAATCTATATGCAAAAAGCCCCCTGTTTCTGACATTGATGATAACACATGAACTCGATACGCTTACAGCGAGGCCAATAATTTCCCCCGGTTCTGGGCCAAAGAACTCTTGTACAGTAGAATAAGGATCATTATTCAAAGGATTGATTTTTAGAACTCTGTTTTCTGCAACCAAATATATCTGCCAACAAAAGGGCGTCTAATATCAATACATAATGGACATACCCCAAAAAAAAAGGCCACATACACACATACACATCACGTTTGAAAGCAATGCAATGTGCCGGAGGAAGCTCATATTACACAAGTTCGAAAATTTGTAGGCACTTGAAGGCTGATATTCTGTCCATAACATGTAAAAAAGGAACAAAAGCAAAACAATTGAGTCGTATGTTGAGCAAAAAAACTTGCCTTTCTTGACCCACCGTGCTCTGGAGCTATATGCGAATTGCATGAGTAGTTGAGAGTTATTGTCCAAGCAATGGAACCATTTTTATGGAAAGAATAGAATGTTTTCTCCGAACAGGCATATACCCGCCCGTCATCCCCTATCAATGGTTTGGCAAGCCTGCGAGCAGGTTTCTTGAGGGGCTCTTGTGCTGGGGAAAATAAGAAAAGAAAATGTAAAACCAACAGTGCATTCGAGAAAAGTATCAAGCCAGTTTAAAGTCTGAACCTTCTCCATCACAACACTTCCTAAATGACGACATTATCATTAACGAGAATTCTGGAGGGATGAAGAGGAGGACCTGTGAATGATTGTGGCGAAACCGGGAATTTCTGAAATTGCTCATAGGACACAACGAAGGCAGATCCAATAGACACGACTACTAGCATCAGAGACAACTGAGCCTGCAAAGACATCCTCCACTTACAAAACACGCAATTTGGCAATTTGAAACAGAGGAGACGACCATGTATTGCTTTAACGGCCCCAACAGTGGTGGGAGAAAACTGCTACTTGGACCGTGTTTGCCATCGTATTTTTTTGGAGACGAAATCAAGAGATTGAAGTACATTTCAATTAGGAGAGCTATCTAACTAAACATAAACTATACTATTAATTTAGTCAACCCGCCGGGTGGTATATATATTTACCTTTAAGGTAAGGAATCGAGGTTTCAACATGAGCATTTGGGAATGATGGAGCCATCAGGAGGCTGGGGCAGAGGGTAACGAGATTGACCTTCAGTTCTCGTGCCTTCCTCCAAGCAACCTTCTCAGCTCTTGTTTTACCCAAGGCAAGCCATAGCTGTTCTTGATACAAATGGGGTCACACTTAAAAGATTAATTAAAAACCCTTTCTGGAAGAAATTAGTGGCGAATCAAGCGAGGTAGCTAAATTAACAGAGTACCTTGTTTTCTCTACAGAAGTCCTCATCACTCCAACAACCCTCATCTACTTTGACTTGTCCAATGTCATTTTCGTCACCCTTCCAGAAAGTTGCGAGAAGGGAAGAGGTGAAGATGCATCTTTTCGAGTATGCAGCTCTACGCAAGCTTCAATCACATTTTCTTGCTCCTTCTGCCTCAAGAAATGCCATTCGTTCCTAAAATGTTCAAATGATTCTTTTTTTTCTTTCTTTCTTTAACATCGAAAGAAAATGTTGTTGTGTACGTAGTACTACCAAAAAGACGTGTTTTACTTCCATTAGAAATTCAGTCAAACTTCAGTGGTGCTGAATAGCCGTTTTTTAATTTGCTCGAAGAAGGAGAGGAAGGAAAAAGAAAAGACAAAAGAACTAACCGTATAACCAGATATTCCACGCGGATCAATGAAAGAGGAGGTGTGAAAAATTCCATGGCAACCTCTAAAAGCATCACAGAGACTTTCTACATCTCCCATCTTTGCCACCACCACAATCTCTCTAATTGGCTTATCTCTTCTTCATTCAGGAGCTCCTTCATGTCCTCGTAATTCCCTGCTCACAAGTTACCGAATTAGCAGCTTCTACCAGAGATATAATGAAGTTAGAAAGAACGAACATAATTTTTGCTCTTGTTGCGTCTGAACATGAATATCAAGAGATATGTATTATTATTTTTCCTCTTGCCAGGGTTCCAAAAATAATGGAATGAAAGAGCGTTGACGAGAAAACGTAAAGATGTTGCGGAGAAACGAATCTGCTATTTTTATTTTGTTCTCATATTATTATTGTCCAGCTTGCTTTCCTCTTGTCTGTGTGGGAAAACATTGCAAATAGTTTTCTCGAAATCTTTTGGTGAAGTGATCAGTAGGGGAAAGGACTTCTCGAGCTTGATAACTTACGAAGCTGGTGAAGAATGTAATTGTGTAAAACTAAATCTGGTAGCCTAAATAATAAAAAGTTCTTAGAAAAAAAGTGGGTAATTCGTGCATATGCTCATTCTCATCAATTCTTTTAACTATTTGTCGGATTTTAAACTTAGTTGATGAACTCATGCTAAAAGCAATAGCCTTTCTTTTTTCCCAAAATAATTGCAAACTGCCTACAAAGCTGTACTCAGATCCATTTTCTGCGATTGTTCAAGTTGGATGTCATTTGGAATTTTGGGTTTACCTGGATTCTGAATGGTGACTCGAACAAGGTAACCACGAGCCAATAGCTTCTTGGCCAAGTGAGCACCCAAGCACGAGTTGGCGCTGGTGACGCATACAATTCGTCTCTCCGGCGAGTATGAATAGCAGGCAAAAGCGCTGCCAACAGACTTGCGATCGGCTTTTTCTCCATTCAACAAAACCAGTGGCTCTTTTGGGAAAGACATTGCTAATGCAACTTCCTTACACCCCTTCATCACCATGATGATCGGTATGATCTATCTGATCTCTCGATCTGCTTCTGGCTTCCCTCAAAGCATGGGTTTTTAAGGCAAGAGATATGATCGCATGCATGCCAAATCCTGCAGCAGGTGAGGTCTGTTAGTTGATGGAGAAGAGTAGGTGCCACTTGGCACGAGGTTGCCTTTTAACCTATCATCTACGAGTCAAAAAAAAAAAAAAAAAGGTATGATCTGATTCGACTACATGGCTACAAAAGTCAACATCGGCTGCTTTCCTTGAACAACCTTTTTTGTTTTAGGTCAAAATTCAATAGTCACATTCATGTTTGTTGACCCAGGCTATATAGAGCTTGACACAGTTAATAGCATGTACTAGAGATAAAGTTTTTTTTTTTTATAATTACTGATAATTAATTTTCTTAGCAAAATCTATTTTAGAATTTTCTATGCTGAGACTAAGCTGTGATTACTTACAATATTGTTGAACTGCCTTATATATAAATACAACGAGTAATTTTTTTAAGCTTTCTATGAACTCATTTTTTAAATTTTTTTATTTTATATATATCAAATTATTATAATGTATTTTTTTAAAATAAAAATTCTAGAAAATAGTAATCCAAATAGGTGGGATGCACTAGCCAGCCAATAGCAGACAATATTGTGATTGGTTTTGTGCATTAACAATGACCTTCCAGAAGCAATGTTGCAGATATTATTACCAGTTAACTCTTGTAGCTGTACATGCGGTGTATTAATGCACGACGAAATAATCCCCTTGACGTGAATGTCAAAGTTTTAGTTGCCAGATCAGTAGACATTGACTCCGTTTGATAAGTGATTTTTTTGGATATTTTTCTAAAGTTTTACTGTAGAAGTTTTTTAAAAATTTTTGAAATGTGTTTTTTTTTATAAATATTTTGAAATCTATAATTTAAAATTTTTAAAAAACTTATATAGCAGATAAATTTGATAAAAAATTTATCTACCAAACAAGGCCATTATTATTTTATGAAAACAATAACTATTAAAATACTTTTAAGGGTGCCAAATTTTTCTCCCTTTTAGGTTTCTAAAGGGGCACCTAACGTTGAAGGCTTTTTCCTGGCTACAAATGGTGAACCACATCTGACCTTAAATTCCACTGAATTAGATTTGCACAATATTACCTGATAAACTAACAAACCACGCAAACGCAATAGAATGTACTTCCCTAGACATCATTAATTTTTCAGTTGGAAATAATCCCACGCGGATGGAAGTTAATTCATTCACAGAGCAACGGACACCCCCCCCCCCCCGGGCCCTTCCTTCTTTTTTTTTAATACTTTTTTAATACAGGGACTATCTCAACTTTGTCATGCTAATCTCCCTACGCCTGTGCACTATGTCCATGGTAGTTTCTGACAATGAAATTACGGATGAAGTTGGCACAAAAATCTTCGTGGAGCTGATTAGGGATGTAAGCGAGTTGAGCTACTATCAAGTAGCTCGGTCAATGATTTGGCTTGAACTCGGTCAAATCGAGTTCGGGCCGAGTCTCGAGTTACTTGAATATACTTTCGAGTCAGGGATTTGCGACTTGTGGCTCGACGAGTATTTAATTAATATATATAATTTACATAATATATATGTATTATAATTATAAAATGACCGTTATGGGTATAATTTATATTGAATTTACAAGTGTACATTTTCCGAGTCGAATCAAAAAATTTGATTAGATTCGACTTGATAAGGTTTGACCTTTGATCGAACCTTATCGAGTCGAGTCTCGAGGTTAAAAGAATTTTCTCGTGTCAAGTCTCGAGTTGCAATTTTTAGACTTACATATAGGTCGAGTCGAATTCGAGTATAGTAATATTCGAGTTCGACTTAGCTCGATTATATCCCTAGAGCTGATCAAACATAAATAGAGACAAGTACATGAACCTGAAATCAACAAATGTTACCCAAAAGAAAAAGGAAGAAATGTCGTTCCACGGATGAGAAAATTGAAGACAGGGAGCTGATAGGCACCATTCAGCCTTTTTGGATAAATTGGTATCTGTTGTTGTCCATCATGGAAAGCCTCCCCTTCTTTTGTTGAAAAAAAAAATTCTTCACTAAATCATGTCCCACCCTTTTCTTGTTAGAAAAAAAAAAGATTTTTTTTTTCAAGTCTTCGCTAGGTTTCTTATTGTTTTTGGAGAAGTGCAAGAGACAGAAGGAAGGGATTCATTTTTTCAAATGACTTTCTTGGATGGTTGTCACATGAAGTGCACATGTTGCCACCCATGCTTTAAATATTGGGTGGTTGAAGGACTAAATTGGCTATTTCTAAAAACTGGGGGTGAACTATGATCTCGTAGGGAGGGATTAGAGTAAAGGAAAATCATTTCAAAAGTATTTCACATTTTGTTAAATAAATTTTTTGTTTTTTATTTTTAAAATAATAAGTTTACGTTTCTTATAAAATTAAATTGGTTAAATTTAATTCCAACCTAAGTTTTTTGTCACTTTTTACTTTGAATCTAGCAAGTGACCCTTACACAGTCATTTTTTAAGGTATGAAAAAATTAGATCCTATTTATAATTAAACAAATTATTTGATTTATGTTCATTTTTATCCCTATAGAAATAGGATTTGATGAAACCATAATTCATTTTTCCTCCAAAGTGAGATTTGACCCTATTCATATTTATTTTTACTATTAAAAATGAAATTTAATTTATTTGTACATAAAAATGATTGCATGTAAGTGATTGAAAATTGATTTAAAAAAAAATGGGATTCTCAAGTTGAAAAGTGATTGAAAATTTAGGTTATGGGGGGAGGGTTGGGTTGGGTGGTACGGGGGAGGGAGTGTAAGCAAGATGTCTCGGGTTCGAGTCCTCCTGCTTACAAAAAAAAAAAAAAAAAAAAAAAGAAAATTTAGGTTATGGTCAAATTTTATTAACTAAAATTTAGAAGGGATGTAAAATTAATATTTTAAGGGTCCGTTTGTTTCAGGTGAAAATGTTTTCCAGGAAAATATTTTCCTAATTTTCCGCGTTTGGTTGCACAAAAGTTACTGAAAATATTTTCCTGTGTAAAATATTTTCACTCATCTTATGGAAAACAACTTCCCTTCCAAACTTATTGAAGTTGTTTTCCGAAATGCATGCATTCCGCCTATAGCATGTTCCAAACTTACTGAAAACATCTTGTAG